CCTGGGAGCTACATAGATCAAGAGCAGCTACAGCCTCAAGCCTTTGGGACTGAACTTAATCTTGTTTGTCCCATAGTATATCAAAATTAAATCCAATGCAGTTAACAGGTTTGCACCAATGTAAAACTGATGTGAGATCAGTATCACAATGTATATATTTAATCCTTTTTTACGGGTGACTGTGACTCCAGGGATACATTTCATTAGAAACAGAGCAACCTATTTGAATATCTACTGAACCAAGCCTTTATTCCAAATTGAACCTGCCTGTTTTTGATGCTCATTGACTTCTCTCTTTGATTTTAAATTGGCGGATGTGTCTGATCTATATTTTATGTATTTCATGTTCAGGTGCCGTTCCACTTCTTCAGTACAACTGCTTCCAGAAGTTGAAATCTCAAAACCCTTTGGGAAAAGCTAGCCATGGTATTTCTGATCAAAAGCAGTTGGTATTAGAAATCTTTCAGGGAAACCTCTCATTATGTAAGCAAAGAACTTTGTGTTAAAACCTCACATTTCAGCTCTCCCAACTTTTCAAGGCTCGTAGACCACTATTAGTCTTCATTAGCATGCAGTGGTAGCTACCACAGCCAAGTGATCATTTGCATCCTGTTTCACAAGTCTCGCCTCCTCATTTCTCTCTCTCATTCTGACAATTCTTTTATTTTTTAATATCGCAGTCTGATCATGTATCTGGCTCCCCCACCACTCCCCCTCAAAGACTACCTATGAGTTTCTCCTTGCTCTAATTTAACAGGCAATCTGCATCTGTTCTTCTTGAGCTCCCTAACCCCCCCCCCACCAGCTGTTGACCTATTCCTTATTGCCATTGCCTCCCTAATATTGAACACCCACAAGATGGCACAGCATAAGCATGTAGAGTATGGGGGAGTGGGAAACAATGGGCAGGAAATTAATTCAAGAATTAAAAGTTCAGTATCCAAATACCATTCCCTGAGCAAAGCAATTCCTTTCTTATCACCCCCTCCTCATTTCTAAATATTTACTATGTAAGCAGCTAATGGTCTATATAAATGCATGACTGTGCAAGGTAATCTAATTGTAAATTAATAAACCACAAACCTTATTTCTTCTCAAACCAGTGCTAAGATAATGGGCTGTGGTCTGATCTTGAGGGCATTTTTTTTTTTATAGGACAGGTATAAAAAACCAAATACGGTGATTTTCCCACTATAACCCTCTATCTTAATTATAATGGAACAAACAATGTTATTTCAATCGAACATGCATTCTCTTTCCAAGCAATCTACTGTATGCGTGTTGTATTTTCATTTTGCCCTCAGTAGAGAAGCAATAAGTCATCTGCAAATATTTATCTATATGAAAACCAGCATAGGATCTTATGAAAATATTTGTTCTATAGAGTAGATAACATAACTAAAAATGAGATTGCAGGATAATGGTTGGATTAAAAAATAAAAAAGACCAGAGAAAGAAAACATTACCCCTATAATTACTGGTCCTCTCTCCTCCCTGCTTATTGGTGTCTCCCTCTCCTTGGATTCCAGAGCTTGTTTTATTTCTCAGCAGCTGGTCTACAGTGCGGGAGCTTCGACTCACAGTGGGAAACCTGAATGAAACTGCAGTTTGTTTCAGAAAGGGAATAAAGAAAAGTTTATTTCTGGCGTTTGCAGCAGATGGACCTGCTTCTGATTCTCTTAGACACAAAGGCGGCTTTACAATATTCCTGAAAAAGAAACGAGAAAAACAAGAGTGGAAATATGACTTGAAATTTCCAACAGGTAAGAAGTCAGAGGATTCGTAGGCAAACTGAAAAATAAAGTACTACACCGTAAGCCAGCTGAAGGAGAAAAACATGACTGAAATATATATTTCCAAGTGTCGTTTTATTCTGCATTTCTGATTAAGGATGGTTGGAAAGCATAATGAAGATTACAGGTTTGTAATACCTGCAACTGTAAGTCTGATATTTCTTTTTTGCCAAACCTTTTATTGATCACTTTGGGGAGGAGGGGAGAATATTCAATTCCAGTATACCTAGAGAGTCCTTTGAATGAGGTGCTCATTTCCATATGCTTATTTTATGATCAAACTATGGCTTATAACTTTCTTCGACTTCTCAACATTTCAGCTTCAGGAATAACAGAACCAGAGTAAATCGTTTCTCTTTTGTGATGTTGTGAAACTGTCTGCTTATGGTACAGATTTTTTTTTTAAATGAGAGAAGCAAGGGGCATTGCAGAATCATAGATACTTCTCAGTCTAAACACTTCAAAAATTAATCAGACTTTGTTTTATTTCAAGGAAGTAGATGATGTTAACATTTACAATTGGTTTAAACAATGTTGATGCTCATTACAATGGAGTTTAATTCATGCTGCCCAGCACAGTGATGTCATTTATTCTTCAAAGGCAGCATAGCTGAGACTGAATTTTCCAGAGGGGCATAATAATTACCATGTTGAGGGAATGATTAAATTACCTTTTATTATACTACACTATATACTTTTCTGAACCCACATTGCAGAGCAATCCAGTAACAATGTCCAATTATCAGAAATGAAGCTTTTCCCTGGAACAGTGACAAAAATACTTGGTGTGCAAAGAATGAATGAACTACAGCCCAACAGATTAGAAGGCTGTTAAAGGGACATTCCTTAAAGTTAACGTGCCAAACTAGTCGAGTCCACACTGCCGGCAGCAGGAGGACACTTGGCACTTGTTACTGGACTCTGCAACAGTGGCTAAGCAATTCAGCACAGCAAATAATGTGTAAAACATCACAAAATGGACTCAGCTTCATCTCATACTTGGTCATCATAGCCCCCCCCCAACACACACACACACACACACACACACACACACACACAC